TAAAAGATATTATCTTTATTTATTTATATTATTGCTTTCATTTGATTTGAGACCTGGATTATTTTTTCAAGTTGCATTTGGAATATAGGTGTCCTCCAGTATTGCAATATTGCTTCGACTTTTGAGAGAATATTTTCTCTTGTTCGCTGTGGGCATTTTTGCTTTTTTTTTTTTTTTTTGTAATTTAATGGTTTGAAAAGTTTCCTAATGAATGAACACGTTTCTGTAGCCCAAACTCCTTTTCCAGCCATATCTCTAAGATCGTAATATAAGGTACAGATTCCTTAATCATTTCTGTGTGGTGTCTGGTTTTAAATTTCGGCTCTATCACTTTGCTGTCTTGCAAAGTTGTCAGTCATGATTTTGACCTTCTAACTTTGGGCAAGTTATTTGACTGTGTGTCTGTCCTCTCATAGTCAAAATGGGAATAATAATAAAAAAGATCTTCTTAAATATAAAGTATAATTCAAATAATTATAAATCACTAAATGAGTGATTAGATGGAAGTATTTAGCTCAATGTATGTTGCATAATAACCCTTCATAAATGCTATTTTTTGTCTATTTAAAATTGAGATGTAATCGACACATAACATTTGTATTAGGCGTACATGTTTGTTATGTATATATATTGCAAAATGATCACCAGAATAAGTTTTCTTAACATCCATTAGCACACAGTTATAATTATTTTTTCTTGTGATGAAAACTTTTAAAATCTACTCTCTTAGCAGCTTTCAAATACCCAGTGCAGTATTTAAACACAGTCATCATGCTGTACATAGTTCTTAGAATTTATTTATCTTATAAATGGAAGCTTGTACCTTTTGACCATATATACTGTTATTACCTGTCATTGCATTTCTCTTTCCTCATTCATTCATTCATTCATTCAACACGTATCTATTGAGTGCCTGCCACATGCCAGGCACAGTACCAGATATAGAAACATCAGTGAACAAAACACAAAGTCATAGCCCTCAAGAAACTTATTTTCTAGTGCATAAGAATGTAAATGACATTCGATGTCAGGCAAGTCCTATGAAGAAAAATAAACAGAATAAGGAGATGGAAGATAATAAAGGATATTTTAAGGTTGGTTGTTCAGTTTAGCTGATACTATGCAAATATCTGGGAGAAGATTATTCTTGGCTAAAGGCACAACATATATTGAGTCCTGAGGGAGTAACATTCCTGATGAATGTGAGGAACAGTATCCACTCCACTGTGGTTGGAGTAGAGTGAACAAAGGAGAAAGTAGTTTAAAATGAGGTCAGAGAAGTCAATGATGTAAGGACATGGTAAGGACTTTTCATTTTACCATGAGTGTGACTGGAAGGCAAGATTTTGATAAGAAGAATGATGTGATGTAATTTATGTTTTAAAAAGTGACTGGCTCCTTTTATAAAGAATTGAGGATCAAGAAAATACCTAGGAAGAAATGTAACCAAGGAAGTGAAAGACCTATATTCTGAAAACTACAAGACACTCATGAGAGAACTAAAGAACATACCAATAAATGGAAACAAATCCCATGCTCATGGATAGGAAGAATTACTATTGTCAAATGGCCATCCTGCCTAAAGCAATCTACAGATTCAATGCAATCTGTATCAAAATACCAACAGTATTCTTCACTGAACAAGGGCAAATAGTTTTAAAATTCATATGGAACCACAAAAGATGCCATATAACCAAAGCAATCCTGAGAAGGAAGAACAAATCTGGGGGTATTTTGCTCCCCAACTTCAAGCTCTACTACAAAGCCACAGTAATCAACACAATTTGGTACTGACACAAGAACAGACCCATAGACCAATGGAACAGAGAGCCCAAGCATATATAGTCAATTAATATACAATAAAGGAGCCATGGATATACCATGGGGAAATGACAGACTCTTCAACAGCTGGTGTTGGCAAAACTGGACAGCTACATGCAAGAGAATGAGACTGGATCACTGTCTAACCCCATACACAAAAGTAAATTTGAAATGGATCAAAGACCTGAATGTAAGTCATGAAACCATACAACTCTTAGGAGAAAACAGGCAAAAACCTCTTGAATATAAACATGAGCAACTTTTTCCTGAACACATCTCCTCAGGCAAGAGAAACAAAATAAAAAATGAACAAATGGGACTATATCATTCTAAAAAGCTTCTGTACAGCAAAGGATACCATCAGCAGAACAAAAAGCCCTCCTACATTATGGGAGAATATATTTGTAAATGACATATCTGATAAGGGGTTAACATCTAAAATATATAAAAAGCTCATATGCCTCAACACCCAAAAAGCAAATAACCTGATTGAAAAATGGGCAGAGGATATGAACAGACACTTCTCCAAAGAAGAAGTTCAGATGGCATCAGGCACATGAAAAGATGCTCCACATCGCTAATTATCAGGGAAGTGCAATATCAGATATCACCTCACACCAGTTAGGATGGCCAACATAGAAAAGACTAGGAACAACTAATGCTGGTGAGGATGCAGAGAAAGGGGAACCCTCCTACACTGCTGGTGGGAATATGAACTAGTTCAGCCATTCTGGAAAGCAGTGTGGAGGTTCCTCAAAAAACTCAAAATAGAAATACCATTTGACCCAGGAATTCCACTCCTAGGAATTTACCCTAAGAATGTAGCAGCCCAGTTTCAAAAAGACATATGCACCCCTGTGTTTATCGCAGCATTATTTATAAAAGCCAAGAAATGGAAGCAACCTAAGTGTCCATCAGTAGATGAATGGATAAAGAAGATGTGGTACATACACAGAATGGAATATTATTCAGGCAGAAGAAGAAAACAAATCCATTCTACCATTTGCAACAACATGGATGGAGCTAGAGGGTATTATGCTCAGTGAAATAAGCCAGGCGGAGAAAGACACGCACCAAATGATTTCAGTCAGCTGTGGAGTATAAGAACGAAGCAAAAACTGAAGGAACAAAACAGCAGCAGACTCACAGAACCCAAGAATGGACTAACAGTTACCAAAGGGAAAGGGACTGGGGACGATGAATGGGAAGGGAGGGAGAAGGGGAATAAGGGGCATTATGATTAGCACACATAATGTAGGGGTGTCACAGGGAAGGCAGTATCACATAGAGAAGACAAGTAGTGACTCTGTAGCATCTTACTATGCTGATGGACAGTGACTGTAATGGGGTATGTGGTGGGGACTTGATAATGGGGGGAATCTAGTAACCACAATGTTGCTCATGTAATTGTATATTAATGATACCAAAAAATAAATAAACTAATTTTAAAAAAGAAAGAATTGAGGATCAAATTAGAAGCTGGGATGACAATTAAGAGGCTAGCACAGTACAACAGGTGAGAGCTGATGATGCCTTAGGTGATAGTGGTGGGGAGAGGTGATTGGATTTGGGATAAATTTTGGGACATATTTGAAAGTAGCTGATAATATTTACTGATGGATTAGTTATGAACAATTGTGGAAATGATGGTACATTTACTAAAGTAGGGAAAGCTCTGAGAAGAGCAACTTTTTATTTTATTAAGGTATGATTGATATACACTCTTATGAAGGTTTCACATGAAAAAAAAATGTTGTTACTCCATTTACCCATATTATCAAGTCCCCTCCCACACTCCAATCCACTCACTGTCCATCAGTGCAGTGAGTTGCCAGAGATCCACTATGTCCCTCCTCTGTGATACACTGTTGAGAAGAGCAACTTTATGTATATAGAGGTAATAAGAATTTTCTTGTGATCTGTTAGAAATGCTGATGGTAGAAATATTCCACCTAAGTGGAGATTTTCAGGACATAGTTTGATATAGTAGGAGTTGAGTTCTAAGAGAGAGGTCAGGACTAGAGATAATAATTTGGGAATTTCCGATATATAAATATATTTCAAGTCACTCCACTTGATGAGTAAGTTTTAATGGAGAATAGGGAAGATGTGAAGATAGCTCTGGGATACTAACATTTACTGGTCAAGAAGAGGAAAAGGATCCAGCAAAGAAGACTTCAGAAGGTATAGCTGGTGAGCCAGGAGGGCAGTGTGATGTCCAGAAGCACAGTGAAGAAAGAGTGTCAGGGCAGAGGAAGTGATTGACAAGGCTAAGGGTGTTAGAAATTTTAGGGAAGGTCGAAAATAATTTTTAGGAAGGAGAATGTGGTTAAAGTAGTCCAAGATTACTTGATTGCCTGGTATACTAGAGACCATTTGAGGTACATGTCATAAATTTAAAGTGAGAGCAGTCAGCATGGTTTGTAATTAATTATGGCCATATTAAGGTGCTCAGGTATGGGTGCAGAATAGGGAGAAAGTGTGATGTTAGAGTTGGGAATTGGCCATGCAAGTATGAAAGAAGAAGAGAGGGGCAGGAGAGTTGTACACATGCAAGGGAGTGATTACAGTGACGGGCCACGAAACCTACGACAGATAAGGAAAGAAATGGGACCCTTGCTGCCAGGAACCACCTTCTACTTCCTCGTATCTGCCTGTATTTTCTGAAATGCCCCCTTTCTTTCTCCTACCTTTCCTAACTTGCAGCCCAAACAAACACACACATACCCATATGCTAAATTTCAGTCCATCCTTCAAGTGATAGCAGACGTAGTGCTCCCTTCTTGAAATCTTTCCTCCTCACCCCCAGTGAACAGGAATTTTGTTTCTCCTTTTGAGCTCCCGGAGCACTCTAACTTTTCAATTGGAACTATTGCTTAGTATTATAGATTTGTGTGTTTATTTTACTTCTGTTACACTGTGTGGTTGCAAGGGACAGGGATATTATGTCTTTGTATCCTTAGCATTTAGTACAGGTGATGTACAGCAAATGTTTGACAAGTCTGAATATCTCAAGTAAAACAGCATCTTCAGTGTTTTTCAAAGTAATTGTGGAAACCAGTATTTCATAGAAATTAGTTTAACTTTCAACTACATACTCTTTTATAGTCACTGTAGTTATATTAACAGTGCTATGTTACTTTTTAATCATCATCATCATTATTATTTTATCTTGCCAGGAGCATCTGTCCTTAAAGAAGTACATTACTGACATTGTGGTTGAAAGTGTAGCTCCACCAGAGTCTTTGAATGATGGAGAAGAGCGGCAAAGAAGTAAAAAAAAAGCCAAAAAGATAAAAGCTCGGATGAATTCCAGGTACCAAAAATATCCTTACAAGCAAAATAGAACAAAAGAAAAGCTTAGTGATGTATCCTTTTCAGTGTAAATCCAAAGAAATCCCTTCATCCCCTCAAAAAGTTTAAAGTTGTTTGCTTCAATAAAGCCTTGAAAATAACACTGATGAGCCTAATTTATAGCCACTTTGTTTGATTGAGAAAGAAAACTGCATATTGATTTAAAGCCCTTGCTTTCACCTGTTAGGAGCTCTTCTTATAATTGGGTGCCAGAGCCTTGCCAAACTCATGTCCCCTCCAGCATGCAGTAGTCTGTCTAAGGGTGTGTGAACGGAGCCTATTTTTCTTTCCAGCTATTGATTTTTAAATGAAATATCAAAGAAAATCAATAGCAATCAACAAATAGAAGTCTGCTGGCTGTAGTGTCAAATCCTGTGCCTAGGTTTAATCAATCTGGGTGCCTGTCGCAACCAGAAAAAGTTGAAGACATACCCTGAAATGGAAAGTGACTTGTCAGACCTGTAGTTTATCACCAGCCTCCAAAGCGATAACTGCGGAATAGAGAGCTGTGTGGTTCATCATCACCTCACATGCTTTGATCACCATCTGCTAACTGATGGGCTTCATTTGAGGGAAAAAACGTAGTTCTTAGTAGGTAATTCTTTGTTATTTGAGGGAAGATAGTCTGAATATGTTGTTGCACATTTTTTCCCCAAATATCTTGAAAGATGGGAAAGCTTGACCCATGGGATTATAGAAATACAGGCCTAGAATAATGGTGGATGAAGACTGTCTCTTTATAGTTGCCAGTTTCAGACTGTGATAAAACAAGGTGTCCATTGTATCTGACAGAATAAGTGAAAACTTCAGAGAATCATTCAAGCAAAAAATACATAAGGTTCTTTAATTGTATTTGTTGAGGTCCCTCTAATTTTCTAAAAATAGTTCCATGGTATACTTCAGAGTATCGGTGATTTTCACTTCCAGTGCATGCTAAGAACTTGCTGATCACCTCACACGGAAATGCTGTAGAGCCTGTTCCTTGGACCTTTTTTCTTCTGTGTACACATTCCCTTAGTGAGCTCGCCAAGTCCTGTGGCTTTAAATATCCTCTACTTGTTGCTGACTACCAATTTTATATCTTTTTTTACTCAACCTTGGTATGTCCGAAACAAGCTCCCGCTCCCTCCTTTGCAGCCCCTCCCTCAAAGAAGAAAACCCCTTTTTGTCCTGTAATCTCTGCCTTAGTAAACGGACACCCTGTTCTGGTTCCATATGCCAAAACCCTTGAAGGCATCCTTGAGCTTTCTCTTACTCCCACACCTAACATTCAGTCCAACTGCAAATCATGTTACATTTGCCTTAAAATATATTCAAAACTGACTACCTCTCTTTAACTTCCCTGTTTCCCCCCTGGGCCAAGCCTCTAACATCTCTTACCTGCGTTATGTTAGTTGCCCTCTGACTTGCCCCCCTTGTTCTTCCCTTGCCTCTCTGCAGTTTGTTCTCGGTAACGATAGCCAGAGCAAGCCTGTCAAAATGTAAGTCACATCATACGACTTCTCTTCCCCAGACCTCAGGGCTTTTACAGTTCAGGTTTCCTCCTCCTGGATGGCTTTTCCCACAGATTTCCGTATAGCTAACTCCCTAACCTCCTTCAGGCCTATTCAAATGGCACCTTTTCAGTGAGGCTGTCCTTGAGGGCCCAATTTGTTTATGTACCTGAATCTAGTTTATTAAACAAAATCTTAAAATTATAAGAAAACATATCTATAATTCTACTACTAATATTTTGGCATATATATCTTACGTATATACTTATATCTATGAATCTTTTTCATGTGATATGATATATATGAGTGAAATGTAGAGACTTCTACAGCTTGTTGAGTTTTCACAAATCGAGATTCTTATGTAATCTACACCCTATGAAAATTTAGAACATTTCCATTACAAAATTTCTTTGTGCCTCTTCCCAGTCAGTCTCTCACCACCCAGGCCTTTGGTGACCACTGATCTGCATTCTGTTATTATAGATTAGTTTTCCCTGTACTGGAAATGCATACAAATGAAGTACCTTTGTGGCTGGCTTCTTTTACTAAGTATATTGTTTTTGAGATTTATCTGTGTTATGTGTATGTATGCAGTTTGTTCCTTTTTATTGCTAATCATTCCTGTGTGCATATCCCATAGTTTCTTAATCTGTTTCTTGATAGACATTTGGGTTTCCAGTTTTTTGGCATTTACAAATTAAGCTTTTATCAAATCTTTGGGTGTTGTATACATTTTAATTTCTCTAGAGTAAATACCTAGAAGTGGAATGCCACACTGTTTTCGACAGTGGTTGTACTATTTTATACTCCTGTCAGCCATCTGTGGGAGTTCCTGTTGCTTCACAATCTTGCTAGTACTTGGTATTGTTAGTTTTTGCAGTTTCTGCCTCCTTCTAGTAGGAGCATAGTGGTATCTCGTTGTGGTTCTAATTTGCAGTACTCTAGTGACTAATGATGTATATCAACCATCTTTTTCATGTGCTTTGAAGCCATTCAGTATCTGCCTTTACAAAGTACCTGTCAAAAGTTTAACCCATTTGAAAAATTTAGTTATTTTCACTTTATTTTTGGGTTTACATATTTTGTCTGCAATTTTTTCCCCAGATATATGTAATTTTTCTCTCCCATTTTAGAGTTTCCCTGTATATTTTTTTTCTTTTTTTATTGAATAAAAATACATACAATTTAAAAATAAAGATGAAACATAAAATTTTTACTTGTTAATGATAACAAAAATTATTAATAGCAGTGTTACTGAGAACAAATTAATTAACTATGCTTAAGTATTTTTGAAAGTCTTGTTAGATTTGTGATAAAGTGAGTCAAAAGTTATCCTAAGTCCAGTTTATTTCAGTGCTGTTTTCTTGGTTGTCATAACTAGCTGTTATAACAAGATACCTGATAACAATAAAAGTGTGAGAAGTGTATTATTGGCTATGCTTATTAAATCATAATACCATTTTTCAACCTCAACAATTGGGAAAAATTGCCTTTGAAATTTGGCTGATACATTTCTGTCTTTCAAGATGTCAGTCAGTTCTTGGAAGCTGATCAGATATATCATTTGTAAACTTTAAATAAAAAGAGGTCAAGACCATTGAAAATCTTCATTTGGAAGAGTTTTTTAATAGGTTAGAAATTTCTTTCAAGAAATACTTTTATAGCGCAGATACGAGAGTTTTTATTGATAGTACACTTACATTGTTTTCATCAACAAATTCACTTAACAGAAAATCTTGCAAACATATATATATATATTTTT